ATTCGAACCCGCCACCTTAGGTGTACGTGGCTGGCGCCTTAGCCGGTTGAGCTATAGGCACCAAGCCCTTTTTTTTTTTTTTAATTTAAGTTTTTTGTAGAGACACAGTCTCCACTATGCTGCTCAGGCTGGTCTTGAACTCCTGGCCTCAAGCAATCCTCCTGCCTCAGCCTCCAAAAGCACTAGGATTACAGGCATGAGCCACCACACCTGGTCCATTGATACTTCCTGGAAAAGAAAACAAAGCCTTCAGATGAGCCTGGATCCTGTGGTAGTTCACAAAGATGGCTGCAGTCCTTCACTTGTCCATATGTGCCACGTCAATTGCCATGTCACTTTGCAATGCCTTTCAGTCATGTGAATGGTTTCAGCCAATGTACTGAGACAGAAGTGAGGTGTGCCAATCTCAAACCTAGGCCTCCAGAAGCCTTGTGTGTTTTCATGTGCTTTCTCATATGCTTCTGATGTTACCGAGAGAGGGACTTGTCCAGGCTAGCCTGCTGGAGGAAGGCCACGTTGTCCTCTTTGCTCTGGCAGAGGCCGGGCTGGGTTAAAAGATGGCCACCCAACTCCCTGGGAGCAAATCTAACAGTTCAGCAGGGTAAACAGCAAATGCTCAAATGTGAGAGATGTATTTTTAATATATAAAAGTTTTTTTTAATATATAAAATGTTTTAAAATATTTAAAATGTTTAAAGTGTATTTTAGGAGTCACTGTGTTACACTGCATTGTTACATAGCAAAAAAGTAACTAATACAGCTCCTCAGGAAGCTGAGCCTTGACCAAAGGAGTGTGGTAGCCATGGAGGCTGCTGTGGAGATCCCCTTCCACAGAGAGCCTGTGTGAGGGGTATACTCAGCTGACACGCTCCGCTGCAGCCCCTCGGGGGTCTGTTCAGTATTCCAGCTGAGACTGTGCTCCCCCCAGACATTTCCTGTCACTGACACAGCAGCAGCTCCCTGAGGGGGTGGCCGAGACTTCCTCAGAGTTGTACAGTGGGTCCTCAAATGCCATTTCGTTCATTTTCATTTTGTTATAACATTGATGAGAAAAACAAAATAATTCTTAACTGGGTCCACTGTCTGTGCAAAGTTTACATGTTCTTTCCAAGTCTGTGTGGGTTCTCTCTGGATACTTGGGTTTCTTCATATGTCCCAAAGATGTGCACTTTTAATGAACTTGTCTCCCAGTGTGAATGTGGCATGGGGTGCAAATGTGCCCTGTGACAGGATGCTTTCCTGTCCTGGGCTGGTGCCTGCCTTTCTTGTGCCTTGAGTTGCCAGGATACACTCTGGCTACCTGCCCCCCTGAACTGGAATAATTGGGGGTGAATAATTACTTGTTTCTATTAATATTCCATAAGTGTAATGTAAACATATATTTTAATGTGTACTTTAGAAGTGTTTTTATTAATTAAAGGTTTTTATTTATTATCAAAGTTTGGTGATGTTTTTGTGACCAGAACTGCGATGTCAGAACTTAACTCGTGTTTATCAATCAGCTCATGGTGAAGATGCTTCTGTTCTGTGTCGTGTCCCTTGAAGTTGGACTTTCCAAGAACCTATTGATGATGTTGAGCGAGGACTGACTGTACTGTCATCTGAGCCTCCTCCTATTTTGTCCTCCCCTGTTCAGGTCCCTCTGACTCTGTGGGTGTTCTGAACACAATCTAGGGCTTGGCTGCCATTTAACAGTTGACCCTATGGTTGGTTCCCTCTTGCCTCACGGTCAGCCTGCACTGTGGTCTGAAGCCTTCCCCTCCTACACCCTCTCTCCTTTGGCTTTCACAGGAGTCGCCCTATGACCTTGTTTGTACTTCTAACTCCACCTTGCTAGCTGCTTCTCAGAACTGATGCAGGAAGATTTAGAATGAGGAAGTGGTGTACTCATGGCAGCTTACTGGGGACAGAGGAACCACCCAGAAGACTTCAGCAGTTCCTACACAGAGGCAAGAAACTGCAAGTTTGCTCAGAGTGCCTGTGTAACTGGAGTAGCTTTTCCTGATGATACAGACAGATTGGTCAAGAGCAAACTGTTCCAGCTGCCCTCCTTGAGGTAGAACTATAGGGTGATTTCTTTTCTTTATTATTATTATTATTGGAGGCAGAGTCTTACTCTGTCACCCTGGCTAGAGTGCCGTGGTGTCATAGCTCATAATAACCTTAAGTGATCCTCTTGCCTCAGCCTCCCAAGTATCTAGGATTACAGGCACCGCCATGATACCTGGCTAATTTTTCTATTTTTTTTTGAGACAGTGTCTCACTTTGTTGCCCTCAGTAGAATGCTGTGGCATCACAGCTCACAGTAACCTCCAACTCTTGGGCTTAGGCGATTCTCTTGCCTCGGCCTCCCAAGAAGCTGGGACTACAGGCACCTGCCACAATGCCCAGCTATTTTTTGTTGCAGTTGTCATTGTTGTTTAGCTGGCCCAGGCCGAGTTTGAACCCTCCACCCTCGGTGTATGTGGCTGGCAGAGTAACCACTATGCTATGGGCACCCAGCCTAGTTTTTCCATTTTTTTTTTTTTTTTTTTTTTGAGACTGAGCCTAAAGCTGTCCCCCTGGGCAGAGTGCCGTGGCATTACAGCTCACAGCAACCTCCAACTCCTGGGCTCAAGCCAGTCTCCTGCCTCTGCCTCCCAAGTATCTGGGACCACAGGCGCCCGCCACAACGCCCGTCATTGGTTGCAGCCGTCGTTGTTTGGCGGGTCCAGGCTGGGGATTCGAACCCGCCACCTTAGGTGTACGTGGCTGGCGCCTTAGCCGGTTGAGCTATAGGCGCCAAGCCAGTTTTTCCATTTTTAATAGAGACAATCTCTCTCTTGCTCAGGCTGGTTTTGAACTCATGACCTCAAGCAATCTACCCACCTTGGCCTTCCAGAACGCTAGGATTATAGTTATGAGCCACTATACCCGGCCCCAGCCCAGAATGATTTTGATCCCTTTACTTTCAAGGTAGATGGGAAACTACGGACATAGTAGGGATTTAATTAAAAGGGACCAGAGTCTCAGTCAGAACTGTATTACATTTTACTTCTCTTTATTTACTACTTTTCCTTGAGACAGAGTCTCACTATGTCACCCTGGGTAGAGTGCCGTGGCATCACAGCTCACAGCAACCTCAAACTCTTGGGCTTAAGCGATTCTCTTGCCTCAGCCTCCCAAATGGCTGGGACTACAGGCGCCTGCCAAAACACCCAACTATTTTTCATTGTAGTTGTCACTGTTTGGTAGGCCTGGGCTGGATTCGAACCTGTCAGCTCCAGTGTATGTGGCTGGTGCCCTAGCCACTGAGCTATAGGCTCTGAGCCTACTTCTCTTTAGATTCCTAGGAAGTTACCCCCGTTTCCCTGATAATAATGACATTACTGGGAAAAACTGGAATTGATCAAATAAAGAGCAGACAGACACAGAGCTACCCCAAAGTTGGTTTGGTTCAGCTTGGGTGCTGATGATCTGGGGATGGAGTTTGGGACATGTTTGTGTTATCACTAACGATATCATTCCATGAAGGGGAGGTATATAAACAACAGAAAAGGGTTAACTTGAGCCTATGAGCTGAAGAAAGATGCTAGGCAGTGCCTACCTGTTCTACATACTTGGTGTGTATGCACTTGGTATCAACCATTCCACTCACTGGCATCAGTGCCCGCAAGGAACTGAGGTTGGGGAAAGGCAGAAGTTCACACCTCTGTACAGGTTGGCCAGTCCAGACAGCCTGCCCTTCATGTCACTCCAGAGTTGGGCCTGCCCAGAGTAAAACTAGAATATAGGTAGCACCTGCTTCCCTTTCTGTGAAGATAGCAGAGATACTGCCAATCACCTAGATTCCAAGGCAACAAGACCCACTTCTGGCCCAGCTCTGACCAATCCCACCATTCTTCCTTTCTGCAGCTCATGTCAAGCTGGAAGTGATGTTCCTTGGACCTGCCCCAGTCTTGGTTCAGCATGACTTTGATGTGCAGAATTCATGTCTTCCTTCCCAAAGTCTTCTATGCATCCTCATATAACACAGTGTCTGATACCTGGGCCTGGGGAGACCTCAGAGGTCCTAGAGAGTCCAGAGACCCTTGGGGAGCCTGCTAGTTTCCTTCTGTGACAGCAAACTCCCTGGGAAAGTTCCCTCCAGGGAAAAGTGCCAAGAAGGAGCTCAAATGCAAGACACTCCTGTGCCTCCCGTGGAGAGAAATGAGTGCTGTAGGAGTTGGGCAGAAGGGCATAGAGGTGTATTGGGCCTCATGGTGAGTGAGTCTGGCGACTGGCTAGAGATCCCAGATCCACAGGCAGTAGGCCTGGGCAGGCTCTGGTATGGCTAGCAGACTATTTTTTCTAGACTAGCACAGTTTCACTACAGGAAGAGGGTGGCCTGGCTTCCTTCCCCCGTGGAGCTCAGAACTGAGGCCCAGGACACATGTGACACCATTGATCTGAGTTGGGGGAACAGGTGGGTGGTAGATGCACCCCATCAGGCTGGAAGGATAGCCTGGAAGGCAAGGACCCCCATCCTCCTCTAACAAGGGGGAAAGTGAAGGGCTCAGCATGCACATGGACCAAAGAGAGTGCCAGTGAGGTCCCTCTGACACCGTGGGTGTTCTGAACACAATCTAGGGCTAGGCTGCCACTTAACACAGCTGAGCCTGTCAGTCCCCAATCTGGAACTTCTGGGAGGCCCAGGGGCTTCCCAAGCTACATTGTTCTTGGTCTGGAGATAACTTTCTCTCCATGGTGGATTTGACATTCAGAATAAGGTGCAGCCCTCCTGAAAGCTGGAGCTCAGGTCCTTGAGACTGTGTGGAAGGAGGAAAGAGTAGGGCTTTGACATTTCATAGATTTATGTCCAAAGTTTGGATGTGCCACCTACTAGCTGTGAGATCTTAGCAAATTACCTGCTGCTATAGACTAAACATTTGTGTCCCCCTAAAGTCAACATGTTAAATTCTAATGCCCAAGGTGATGGTATTTGAAGGTGGGGACTTTGGGAGGTTATTGGGTCATGATGGTAGAGCCCTTATAAAAGAGGACCCAGAGAGACTCCTTTATCTTCTAGCATGTGAGACTACAGTGAGAAGTAGACCCGCACCTGACACAGCAAATCTGTGTGTCTTGATATACTGGTAGCTTGATCTTGGACTTCCTGGTCTCTAGAACAGTGAGAAAGACATTGTTTATAAGCCACTCAGTCTATGGTATTTGTTATAGAAGCCTGAAAGGGCTAACACACCTCCACTTCCGATCCTGTTTCCTCATCTGCTAATTCAGAGGACAGCAACACCTCTCAGAGTACTACCAGGCCACAGGGGCACAGTACTTTCCTTCCCCTTTTCAGGGAGTCTGGAGTAGAGCCAGGTCTGCACACAAGATGTGTACAAGCTCAGACAGCTTCCCTGCTCTTATGTGATGACTACTGAATGCAGTCATGGAGACAGAACAACAAAAATAAAATTCTCATAAAAGTTTCTGTTGGTCTGGATGAAGCTCAGGAGGCAGCTACCTTATCCTGCTTAGGCCAATGCTTTAAATAAAGGGTGCCCCAGATGGAAATAACACATCAGAGGGTAAGAACACCTGGGGTGGGGACAGGGAGGCTTGGTTCATCTGCCTTCTGTGTCTGGAGCTTTCTAGCTCTTCCCTGAGCTAAGTCTTAATTTAGCTGGTAGGGCTCCCTTAGACTTGGTGGAGAGCCTAGGACTAGCGGCCCTGATTTTCTGGGATCAATTAGGTATTCTTGTGGCCAGCAGGTGGCGCTGATCCCTCAGTTTTGACGGCCTCAGGTTCACCGTCACTAGCAGCTTGAGGTCCATGAAGGGGTGGAAGAGGGCTACCCTGGATAGAGCCCCAAAGGTGGTGCTGCCAGGAGTTCCTCATTAGCAAGTCTGGTTTCTTCCCTTGGCCTCAAGGGCAGCCAACCTGAGTCCCAAGAGCCAGGCCCCTAGAATGCCGAGAAGCTTCTCACCCCTTCACCCTCAACAGAAAACAAATCAGCTCTGCAAGAAAGGGAACTGACACTGGGGAACTGTGGAGGTGTAGGGAGAGGGCTCTTAGAGCTCAGATCAGCAGCGCCACTTCCTGGGCCCCTTAGCCCTGCCTCTGGAGCAGCCTGGGACAGACTTTTATTCATCTGACCAAAGCCCTGAGTGTAGGCCTCACACTGTTGTACCCATGGCTTGTCCTGTACACCACACATCTGTCCATCCACCCATCATTCATTCACTTGTTCATTCATTCAGCATCTACTCAGTGTCAGGCACAGTGCTGAGTCAGATACAGTCTCTGACCTCAAGAAGCCATGGACTTGGGGATGGGGAGTCAGACTCATAAACACAGGCAAAAGGAGAACGGACTCTAGCGTAGGGGAGGGAAGGGACCACTTTTCCCCCAGGGAAATCAGGGAGGGCTTCACAGAGGCATCATTTGGCCTGAACTTTTGTGAATTTCAACAGACAGAGGTGAGGTCTGGACGGTCTAGGCAAAGCAGAGGTCCAGAGGTAGGAAGCTCCATGTTACGGTAAGGAGGGGACAGGATGGGGAGACAGTGGGGGAAGCAGGTGGGTGAGCACACAGAGTCCTGGCAAGAGACTAGCAGGCTGGGAAAGGCAGCTGCAGCCTGAAACAGCTGGTGACAGTGGCCAGCCTTCCCAGGAAGGAGGTGGGGAACTATGGAAGTTGTTCCCCGTGGGAAGGAAAGATTAGCCTTTCTGAGTCCATCCTGGAGGCTGTGTGGCAAATGAACTGCAGAGATGGGGGTGAGTGGAGACAAGGAGACCAGGTACCAGGTGCTGCCTCAGCCCCTGTAGTCATGGTTTTTCTAAGCTGGGAAGGGACACTGTGTAGAAAGTAGGACCTGGCAGAGAAACGTATCACTGAGGGAAAATATAAAAGCACCTTCTCTCTGATAGTTTGCTTGGTCAATTTTCTTATGTGGCTGATTCAGCAGCAATCACAATGGTTAACATTTATTAAGCACTTGTAGACCAGGCACTTAGGCATTGTACATATGTTTTCACTTACTCCCACAACAATTCTATGAGGTAGGTACTATTAGTATCTTCATTTTATAGATGAAACACAGAAAGGTTAAGTTACTTGACCAAAGTCATCTAGCTAGAGCCAGGATTCAAACCCAGGCAGTTGGCTCCAGAGCTCATGCTCCCATCACTACGCTAATGCCTACAAGTGTCCCCGCCCCCTCCCCAGCACCCCGACCTTCCAGCAGATCCCTGGGAGAGGAGGCAGACCCAGGACTATAAACACTGGTAGGCGTCCAAAGGCTGAGATGCTTGGCCACCTGAGGCAGGAGGGGAATGTCCCCGAGCTGGGGGAACAGGAGCCAGCAGCAGGTCCCTTCCCTGGCCTCCCTGCTAGGGTCCATGACACTTCTTAAAAGGTGGCAGCTGCCAGCCCTTCCCCTCCCTTCCCCCAGCACACTCACTGCCTCCCCAGGAAGAACAGCTCAGAGTTTAGGTCATGAAGGGGGAGGCTTTATTGACAATGGAAAAGGCAGAATTCTGGCCAAGGACATGCAGCCCTGCTCCAGGGGTCCAGGCTGGGGCCAAGCCTGTCGGGACCAAGGGCCTCTTTGCCTCAGGGACCTCACTCAACTTCACCATCCTGAACTTTCCAATATCTCCCTTTTCAGCAACCCCCAAACACTCAGACACATGGCCATCCCCTGGACTAAGTAAGTGGTGGCCACCAGTGGGGAACCAGGACCAGAGATGAGTCTGAGGCCCATGATTGTGTTAGAAACACCTTGTCCTCTGCCTTTGGTGACAGAAAGGGAGTAGGCAGGTATAGCAGTTCCAGCCCATAAAGCACCTCACTTCAGGAAGGTAGTGTTAGGGGCAGAGGGCAGGGACATCTCCACTCTCCCCTGCTGCCTCCCCTCCCTGGCCCAAGCCTGCCCTGGGGAGAGGGCCCATCATCCTTGGCTGATGCCCATTTGTGTAGACTCTGTAGCACCAACCCTCCAGCTCTCTCTCATCACTGCCCTCCCTGACACTCAGGCCCAGCCCTTAGCCTGGTACTTTTTAAAGGACAAAGGGGTCTGGGACCTGACCACAGGCAATTTCTTATGGTCACAGAAACAGGGCATCAGGCCTCTAGCCTGGAGACTGTTCTTTCCTAGCCACCTGCCCAGCTTGTGGCAGTTGATCATGGGGACCCAGGACTGTTTGGGGACCCAGCTTTAGAGCCCAGCACTTCCCACAGCCTCCCCAGCCATGGGGGGTGGGGATGGGAGAGGGGCAAGCCAGTCCTGAGCTGGGGCTGGGAGGAGCAGGGACAAAAATAACCCAGTACAGGCTCCTGCTGAGGCCAGAAATAGCTGTAGTGACAAGTGCCTTGTAACACCCAGGGTGAGCAGTAGGGGGAAGCTGAGCTGGGGAAAGCCAGCCTCACACCAGGCCCCTGCCTGGCTGAGGGGCCTACACCATGTCCACGCTACATACCATGCCACGCTGCGTGTACACACACGCATACAGGTGGCGCCTGGGACCATGGCTCAGGACAGGGAATCTGGAGAGATGCTGAACTTGGGCTTGGCCCTGGCAATGGCCACACTGCGCTTGCGCAGAGGCCCTCGGGCTGAGGCCAGGGTCAGGGCATCCAGCAGGCTGCGGTCCTCATCAAGCTGGCGGGCTGTGCAGAGTGGCGTGGGCACTTTAATGGTGTTGCCAAACTTGGAATAGTCTACAGAATAGCGTCCGTCCTCCTCAGCCACGATGGGGACGAAACGCTGGCCCCACAGGATCTCATCGGCCAGGTAGGAGGTGCGGGCCTGGGTGGTGATGCCCGTGGTTTCCACCACGCCTTCTAGGATGACAATGATCTCAAGGTCCTGGTGATGGTGCAGGTCACTGGGTGCCAGGTCGTAGAGTGGGCTGTTGGCATCGATGACATGGTAGATGATGAGGGGTGCCACCAGGAAGATGCTGTTGCCTCCCACGCCGTTCTCCATGGGGATGTCCACCTGGTGGAGGGGCACCACCTCGCCCTCGGGGCTGGTGGTTTTGCGCACCACCTGCATGTGGATGGTGGCACTGATGATCATGCTCTTGCGGAGATCACCCACGCGCAGCATGAAGCAGAGGCGGCCATGGCGCAGGGCGATGACAGCGTGCTTGCTGAAGATAAGGGTCTCGGCCCTCCGGTGGGCCTGGGCGGTCTTCATGAAGATACAGCCCAGCATGATGGCATTGATCATGAGCCCCACGATGTTCTGCACAATGAGGACCAGGATGGCCAGGGGACACTCCTCAGTCACCATGCGTCCGCCAAAACCAATGGTCACCTGGACTTCGATGGAGAAAAGGAAGGCAGATGAAAAGGAGTGGATGCTGGTGACACAGGGCTCCCCAGCACCCTCAACAGGGGCCAGGTCGCCATGGGCAAAGGCGATGAGCCACCAGACCATGGCGAAGAGCAGCCAACTGCACAGGAAGGACATGGTGAAGATAAGCAGAGTGTGTGGCCACTTGAGGTCCACCAGCGTGGTGAACACGTCCTGTAGGAAACGGCCCTGCTCCCGGATGTTCTTGTGGGCTACATTGCAGTTGCCTTTCTTGGACACAAAGCGGGCCCTCCGCTCTCGGGCTCGGTACCTGGGCTCCGCAGGGTCCTCTGCCAGACGTGTCAGCACATACTCCTCAGGGATGATGCCCTTTCGGGACAGCATGGCTCCAGTAACCCCCAGGGAGCAGCTTCCCCCATGGGGGGACACCCCCTGACCTGGCCTGGGGCCTCACTGTGGTGTCCCCTCCTTGGGCACCCTCCCACCCTGGGACCACCACTTCTGAGATGCCTCTCCCAAGAGCCTCTTACACTCCCACCTGGATCCTGTTTCACTTCTTTCTATACGCTTCACACTTCAGCCCACCTGCCCATTGCCTAGGGAGCCCCCAACCCCGACTGCTCTCACCTGACCTCCTCCCAGCTCTCCTTCACTTGCTGAGCACCCCTTGGGCCCCTCCCCACTCAGCCTTAACACCTCAGAACTTAGCACCTCCGGATCTTTCCAACTACTCGGACCTCACTCAACCCCCACACGTCTTCCGCCTCACCCATTTCGCTCCCCGGCTCCCCTCCAAGCTGTAACTTCATGTCCTGAGCGCCCCCAGTCGCTTCTGCAGGTATACCCCCTATTTCCTAGCCCACCCCTCCGGTAGCGCCCCCGCCGCTCTTCTGATTCCTCTCCAGCGCTTGTCCTCTCTGTCTCCTTGGGCTCCTGCGCTCTCCGGAGTCACTACTCAACCCGGCTTAACTCCGGATCCCCTCGGCTCCCACACGACCCGGCCGGGCTAGCTCACGGTCGCGGCCTCTGAGCGCCCAGGCGCCGCCGCCCGCCCGCCTGCGGCCCCCGCCCCGCGCTCCGTCCCCGCCCCGCCCGCTCGTCGCCGCTGCACCTGCTCCTGTTCCTCAAGCCGCAGCGGGCACTTCCCCGCCCCCTCCCGCCAACCGGGTGCTCGCGGCGGGCTGTTCTCCCGTGTCGTCTGTCCTTTTGCGGGTCTGCGGAGACCTTGTGCCAGGTAGGGAGAGGATCGCGGGCGGGGGTCGCCCGAGTTGTGGAGCGGGGGCCGGGCGCCAGGGGCCGCCAGGGGGAGCCCGACCTATTCCCGAGCAGGAGAGGGGGCGGGGACAGGAGCAAGCCCCACCCCTCGCCTCACCCTTCTCCCGCCTTCCATCTCTACACTCGCTAGTCTGGCCTCGGGTTGGGATGGCTGTGTTGTCATATCTGATGAAGCAAAGGGGGTTCCTTCTGTCCATGATCTTTGAAATTGGGGTGTGAGGAGTGAGCTATGCCCCCTCCCTGTCTGGGGACCGCAGCCCCTGTCGCCCTGTCTCCCCTCCTCCAAATTCCCATCCATATTTGGGTCAGTATCTGCCTGTAGCTGAGCGCTGGGATTTGCCGGCTTTTACGGAGAAAGAAGGAAGTGAGGGGCAGCACCATCAATCCTGGGGCTGGGGAAAATTAGGTGGCCCCGAGGGCTTCTCAACTGACAGCTTCTTCCCTTTGGAGGATGCTCTTAATCTTTTCTCAGTCTTGAATCCTTTGAAAATCTGATGAAATCTTGGAATTCCTCCCATTAAAAAAGAAAAAGAAAAGTATCTCAGTAGGTGTGGGGGCACAGTTTAACACTACAGGGGATGCTAGATGCTGTATCCCAGAACCCTGGGCGGTTCCATCTGTTCGGTTATGACCATCCCTACTTTATTCATTTACCCATTTATCTATTTATTTAAGAGACAAAGTCTGGCTTTGTTGCTAGTTGGAGGGCAGTGGTACCATCATAGCTCACTTCAGCTCTGAACTCCTGGACTCCAATGATCCTTCCACCTCTGCTTCTTTGGTAGCTGAGACTATAGGTACACCACCATGTCTGGCTAATTAAAACAACTTTTTTAAAGAGATGAGGGTCTTGCTATATTGCCCAGGCTGGTCTTGAACTATGGGGCTCATATGATCCTCAGGCCTCAGCCTTCCCATGTGCTGGGATTACAGGCATGAGCCACAGTGCCTATTCTATCCCTTCTTTAAAGAGGGTTTGGGCTGCTGGCACTTGCTTTACACTTCCTTATACCCATAGCCTAATTTCTTCCACCTAGGTGATGGGAGGTATCTAGGTCTGAATAGGTATATTAGGACTGGCTTGGGTACTGGGGGACCCAAGCTCTTGGTCTAGACATGGTAGTGTTTCCATGCAGGCATTAACCTAAGGTTGCCTTGCCCTGTGGCTTATGCCCCCCTACCCCCAGTTCTTTGGTGGGGGGCAAGCTAGGTTTCTTTTGTTGTAACAGCAATGACTTTACCCCTTCTTGTGTGGCCATTATTTGGAGTAGGGACTGAGACTGGAAAAAGAGGGAGAATGGGGCTGTAGGCATGACTTTCAGATAGGATTTTCTTTTCTTTTCCATACTCACCTGCAGGCTGAGTATCATTACAAAAGGTGAGTTTGATCTTGGGTTGTGCTAACAGAGGTATAGTGCCTAGAGTGGGGAGGGTGAAGCAGGATGAGCACAGTGGGGGTCTCAAGGAGACAGGGTTGCATGGGAAACCTCTGATGCAACTACAGATGTTCAGCCATCAGAAAAGGAGCTTTGGAGAGTCTCCCAGGGGGGTTGCACACTATTACAGAAATACCCAAGGTTGAAGGAGGATGGACTAGTAGTTTTGTGTGGCCCAAAGGAAAGAAGCTAAGTGGAACAGAGGCAGGCTTTGATTTCACATATGTAAGAGATAGTTTTCATAACAATAACAAGAAATGGCCCACGACTGTGGGGTGTCCAAGTCAAGGCCGGTGGCCTAGCAGGGAAATTATAGAGGGATTTGGGCCAGGGTGGCCTTGGGCATCTCTGCAATACTTCCCTGGGATTCCACCCTGCCCCTGATACTTCCTTTGGGGTGAGGTGGCTTTGGAGTAGTCTTAGCCATGTGGAGTCCTCTTTCTGCTCCCCTTTGCTCCTGGGAGAACCCCAGTAGAAGCAGCGGCTGGGACCCTCGGACCATTTCGGAGGTGGGAAGGGGCCCTGCCTCTCAGTGTGGCCCTGAAGCCTTAGCTCTTACCTGCTCTACCCTTCCAGGAGGGTGAATCCTACACCCAAAGGACTCAGCTTCTGCTTGGCTCCATCCTGCACTTGCTCATACCTGTCTCCAAACATTGCACTTGGCAGGTGCCTTCTTGCTCAAAACGCTTCTGCACTCCTCTTTGGTACATAGGCTTATCCCACATTCCTTGTCTTGACATTCAAAGCTCTTTGATTTGCTGCCCTTATCTCCCTCTCACTCCCTGACTAGCTATCACTTCCTAGCTCCTGCTGCTCTCACCTCACCTAGCTCATTTCTCTAACCCTCTGTCTATCCAATCCCTGCTCTCCCAGGCGGCCTGCCAGACCCCCCACAGAGCTCTTCTTTCTGAGCTCCTTTGGCTCCTAGAACATCCAGAGGGATCTGGGGCTGGGCCTGTATAATGACTGGTGGGTTTTCCTTATGCTGTGTATCTCTCCTCCCCTTGTAGCTAAGAGGGGATGCAGGCTCAGCTCTTAGGTCTACCACCCAAGGCCTGGTATAGCCAATGTTGCGGGTGCTGTATAAATGCTAATACAAAGACAAGTAGGCTGGGCACTGTAGCTCATGCCCATAATCCCAGGACTTTGGGAGGCTGAGGTTGGAGGATTGCTTGAGTCTAGGCATTTGAGACCAGCCTGGGCAACACAGTGACATCCAATTTCTATTAAAAAAAAAAAAAAAGATGTATATGAGCACCTTCTACTTCTTGGCACCTTCTACTTCTTGGGAAGGTGTGGAGTCTTGTTTCATGATGCAGATGGAGACGGGACAGTTGTTGTTTTGGTCTCACTGGTGTCTGAGCCCCAGCATCTTCCAGCCACATCTGAGTGGCTTGTGGCACATGTACTGTGTTTTCCCTCTGAAGGCCCACCCTTCTCTTACTTCTGAATGCCCCTGTTCGGGGGATGGAGAGGGGAATGTGATCCAGGTCAAGCCAGTCAGTGTATCCCAGTTTTCTGACCACAGTGAATAGGTGGGGGTAAAGATGTGACCCAAGTTGGTCCATTGAGATTTGCCCCTAAGATTTTTGCTGGAACTATTGGGAAAGCCCATCTCTTTTTTCCCCTTGGGTTAGCTTGTAGTAGGATATTTGCTGGAGCTGCTAGTAGCCATCTGTCAACCAGAAAGGAGAGGAAAAAGGATTGTAGAAATGGAGACACATCCCTGATGTCAAACACCTGGATGCAGCCATGACTGAAGTAGTACACCTCATAGAATTTTCAGTCATATATGGTAATAAATTCAAGTTTTTGTTTAAGCTACTTTGAGTTTGGTTCTTATCATTTGCAGTGAAAATGGTGATAATCTAGGGTACCCAGTCCCTGCAGTTTTAATCCAAGAATGAAAGTGAGAAGAAAGGGGACCAAGCTGTATGGATATCTGTTACCTTATCTGATGAGATCATCACAGAAATGCTATTACTCTTGCTATGTTCTGAATTGTATCCCCCTTCCCAAATTCACAGGTTGAAGCCCTAACCCCTAATATGTAACTATATTTGGAGATTGATCTTGTGAGGAGATAATTAAGGTTCTATGAGGTCATAGGGGCGGGGCCCTAATCTAATATGACAGGTGTCCTTATAAGAAGAAAAAGAGAAATAGACAGACACAAGGGATGCATGTACACAGAGGAAAGGCTATGTGGGGACACAGTGAGAGAGTGGCTGTCTGCAAGCCAAGGTGAGAGGCTTTAAGGGAAACCAAACTTGTCACCACCTTGATCTTGGACATAAGCCTCCAGAACCATGAGAAATAAAAAAGTCACCAAGCCTGTGGTATTTTGTTGTGGCACCCCAAACTGACTAATATAGCCCTTTTTTCACAGATGAGGAAACATACTTTTGCCCATGCTCACACAATTTCTTCAGGTCTTCCTGATGGCAAAGATGAGCTGGCTCTATAGCACCCACTTTCCACTGCCAGCCCCTGCCCCCAGACTTAGGGCCTCCAGTAAGAAATAACCAATCTCTTTATTTACAAGTGATTTACAGTTAGAAAACCCAGGCAGGAAGCAAGGCAGGGCAGGCATATTGGATGGCACTTGGGCTCTGACAGGTTACTTGTCTGCACGGACGAAGGAGGCGAAGATACTGTCCTTCTGGCTGAGCAGTTTCTCTGGCTTATCGAACTCAAGGATGGCACCACGCTTCAGGACAATCACCAGGTCTGCACTCAGGATGGTGTGGACGCGATGCTGAGTGGGATGGGAGAGGCT